ATAGGGCTAAAAACTATGCAACTCACTCTGAGCTGATATCGGACTTGCTTGTGGCCGAAAAGCACAATCAATTGAGGCCTATCAAAGAATGCTCAAGGATAAGAAAGGGAAGGCTCCTAAAGGTGAATCGCATCATGCTAGTTTGCCTGAAGCAAATTTAGCTTTTAATGCTGATGATGATGATTTATTGAAGCTTGAGCTCGAGGACTATGGTGATGATGTGTGATTAATATGCATTTTATCTTAGAACTGGATATTTTTATTTCATGGTTTGTTTCATGCTATTAGGCAGTTATGATTTCTTTTGTTTCGTCAGACATTTATGGTTTGTTCCTGCTATTGGTATGTTTTCTTATATTCTGATTTGATTGGAATTTCATGAATGCTTCATTTGCTTATACTGTTTTACCTTTCTTTTAGTGTACCACCACCATTCATTAGTTTGCATTATATGGAGAAAGAGGGCGTTTTATGTCTGGTCGACAGTGCTACTACGCACACTATCTTGAAAGATAGAAAATTTTTTCAAACTTTAAATGAAAAGAAAGGAAGTATTTCTACAATTGCTCATGATAAAATATTGATTGTAGGCTCCGGCAGAGCTTTACTTACTCTTCCTAAGGGTACCGAATTAATAATTAACAATGCGCTTTTGTACCCTGAATCACAAAGAACACTCCTTAGTTTTAAAGATATTCGATCTAATGGTTTTCATATTGAAACTAAGACTGAAAACAATATAGAGTATCTTCTAATGACTCATTCACAAGGAAGTCAAAAGAAAATTGTAGAAGAACTTCCCTCTTTCTCCTCAGGCTTGTACCATACTTACATTCGACCTTCTATTAATCATGTTGCATTGAGCTTAAAATTTAAAGACCCAAATTCATTTAAATTATGGCATGAGCGATTGGGTCATCCTGGGCTTAGTATGATGCGTCGGATTATTTCTAATTCTATTGGGCATAGCGTATCACGCAGCAATCTCCCTTCCTTTAATGAATTTATTTGTGATGCTTGTGCAAAGGGAAAATTAATATTGAAACCTTCACGTACTAAAGTTGGAATTGAATCTCCTTCGTTCCTTCATAGGATTCAAGGTGATATATGTGGCCCTATTCATCCCACTTCGGGACCTTTTCGATATTTTATGGTATTGATAGATGCTTCCACTCGATGGACATATGTGTGTTTATTGTCCACTAGAAATCAGGCTTTTCCAAAGCTCATTGCTAAAATTATTGAATTAAGAGCTCAATTTCCTGATTATCAAATTAAATCTATTAGAATGGATAATGCCGGTGAATTTACTTCGAAAGCTTTTGATGATTATTGTATGTCACTGGGCATCAAAGTGGAGCATCCAGTACCTTATGTCCACACACAAAATGGTCTAGCCGAATCACTCATTAAGCGCATCAAATTAATTGCTAGACCATTGTTACAAAATTCCAACTTACCAATTTCATGTTGGGGACATGCAATTTTACATGCTGCTGCCCTAATTCAAATCCGACCTACTGCATATCATGATTACTCCCCTATACAACTAGTGCGTGGTAAAGAACCTAACATTTCCCATCTGCGAGTATTTGGTTGTGCATTCTATGTTCCCATCTCACCACCACAGCGTACCTCTATGGGCCCTCATAGAAAACTAGGTATATATATTGGCTATGAATCTCCGTCTATTCTAAAATACCTAGAGCCCATGACTGGGGATCAATTTACAGCTAGGTACGCTGACTGCATATTCGATGAAGAGAATTTTCCGGCATTAGGGGGAGATAAAAGCCCAAACTTAAATAAATGCCGAGAAATTTCTTAGAATGTAGAAAATCTACAATATTTAGATCCACGCATTAATCAAACTGAACTTGAAGTTCAAAAGATAATTAATTTGCAATATTTAGCAAATAATCTGCCAGATGCATTTACTGATCATAAAGGAGTGACCAAATCTCATGTACCTTCAATAAATGCTCCACAACGTGTGGAAGTCCCCATAAAATTTAATAATCCTGCAGATGCTCCACGCCAGAAGCGTGGTAGACCCGTTGGTACAAAAGACAATAATCCGCGGAAAACGAAATCTAATAAGAATATTGAATCACTCCCGAAATCTCCAGAAGAGAATCGTCCAGAAGGCGAAAATCCTAGTTTAAATGCACGTGCAACAAATAATAAAAATACTAGAATTGCGGAACATCCAGATCAAAATATATTGGGAAATGATGAAGATCTGGTTGATGTAAATATTGAAGTAGCTACGAATTTTGTTGATACAGGAGAAACTTATAATAGAAGTAACACAGTCGTCGACGACACATTTGCCTCTATAGTTGCCTTTACCATCTCTAATAATCTGGATCCAGAACCTAAATCAATTGCAGAGTGCCGGAAGCGCTCCGATTGGGTAAGATGGAAAGAGGCAATTGAGGCTGAACTAGACTCGCTAAATAAACGAAATTTTTTTGGCTCTATTGCGCGTACACCTAAAAATGTTATCCCAGTAGGATATAAATGGGTATTCGTGCGAAAGAGAAATGAAAATAATGATGTGGTGAGATACAAAGCGAGATTAGTTGCTCAAGGGTTTTCGCAGAGACCCGGTATTGATTTTGATCAAACATATTCTCCTGTAATGGATGGAATAACGTTCCGCTATTTGATATCTCTGGCAGTAACTATGAATTTAGATATGCAGTTAATGGATGTCGTGACCGCATATTTATATGGGTCATTAGACACAAATATATATATGAAAATCCCTGAAGGATTAAAGGTTCCCGAAATAAGAGAAAATGAAATACGCAACATGTATAGCATTAAATTACAAAAGTCATTATATGGCTTAAAGCAGTCGGGTAGAATGTGGTACAACCGGCTGAGTGAGTTTTTGTTGAAAAATAATTATGTGAATAACGATGTGTGCCCCTGTGTGTTTATAAAGAGGTCAACGAATGGTTTTTGCATCATTTCAGTTTATGTCGATGACATAAATATAATTGGCACACGAGAGGAGCTTGATAAAGCTAGCTCATGCCTAAAGACGGAGTTTGAAATGAAAGATTTGGGTAAAACCAAATATTGTCTCGGCCTGCAGATCGAGCATCTCTCTGAAGGAATATTTGTACACCAGTCAACCTACTTGAAGAAGGTTTTAGAAAAATTTTACATGGATAAATCTCATCCACTTAGCACACCAATGGTTGTCCGGTCCCTTGAAGCGGATAAGGACCCATTTAGACCTAAAGAAGATACCGAAGAAAATTTGGGACCAGAAGTTCCTTACTTGAGCGCCATTGGCGCGTTACTTTATCTTGCAAATTGCACCAGGCCTGATATTGCATTTGCAGTAAACTTGCTAGCAAGATTTAGTGCTTCTCATACGAAGAGACACTGGAATAGTATTAAACATATTTTTAGGTATCTTCAAGGTTCACAAGATCTTGGTTTACTTTATAAGAAAAATCAAGATATGACATTGGTGGGCTATTCAGATGCTGGTTATATGTCTGATCCCCATAATGCTAGATCACAGACAGGTTATGTTTTTCTTTGTGGTGGTACTGCAATCTCTTGGAAGTCGGTTAAGCAGTCCATGGTTACTACATCTTCAAACCATTCTGAAATAATTGCTTTATACGAGACTTCACGCGAATGTGTATGGTTAAGATCTTTAATCCAACATATTCGTGGATCATGTGGAATTACAAATGATACAACCCCCACTGTCCTTTATGAGGACAATGCAGCTTGTGTTTTACAAATGAGTAGTGGGTATATCAAAGGAAGCATGACAAAACACATTGCTCCAAATTCTTTTACCCACACGAGCTCCAGAAGAGCGGTGAGATTATTGTACAAAAGGTAAGGTCTAGCGAGAATTTGGCAGACCTATTCACCAAATCCCTTCCTACATCTACTTTTGAAAAATACATTTATGGTATTGGTATGCGTAAACTGGGAAGACTATTGTCTTTAGGGGGAGGGAAAAACTCAAAATAATCCCGAAGATTAGGTCCTGAAGACCAAATGCTGTACTCTTTTTCCCCTTTTAACTAAGTTTTTTTTTTCAATGGGTTTATTAGTAAAGGTTTTTGACGAGGCAGCTAGTAAAACACATGAATTTTTATAAATCATGTACTCTTTTTCCCTTGACTAATTTTTTTTCCCCAGTTGGGTTTTTATTAGCAAGGTTTTTAATGAGGCATGTAGTAATGTCCAAGGGGGAGTGTTATAAATATATTAATATGGACATTACTAATATATAATTGGGCCTGAAGTCCATTAGTTAGTAGGATTAGGTTTTAGAGTTTCTCTATTGTAAACTCTATAAAAGAGTGAATACCGATGAATAAAAGGACACACTTTTCTGCTTCTCTTTTATCATTCTCTTTACTGCACATCTTATGCTTGGATTGATGGATGCTTGTTGAAGATTAAGAGTTCCAATTTACAACACTTTTTAGATAAAAAGAAATAAAAAAAAAAAAAAAGCTTGTAAAAAGGAGCTTTTTGAAATATAATATTGTAATATGAATTAGTTATATTTACATATGAAACAATCATTTATTTTTCAAACAATTTTTGTGCATAATCATTTAACCCAATTAATCAACTTGTCAGAAGTTGTTAAATAATAAGTTAGCCCAACTAATCAACTTGTCAAAATTGTTAAATCAGTTATTTATTCGCTATAATCTAATTCAATTTGAATCAGTTAATTCATTAAAATAAAATACAATATTCCCAAGTAAAAGAAAGATAAAATAAAAACGATGACGCAAAAGGGCCATCATTATTAAGAAAATAATTTGATTAGATGAACAAACAATATTAAAACAAAACTGATTATCTTATTTCCTAACAACCTAACAATTGATCACTACAACATTCGTATTAAAATTTTCTCAGAGAGAAACTCCATTTTAATCTCGTAATATACATTGCAAAAAGTAACATCAATCGAAAAAATCGTGCGAACATTAACGACTTCACATAATCGAGCACCCGTTCGGGTTCTCGTCGCTGAACATTCGATCGTCCACGTACGTTGGCGGCGGCGGTGGCGGGCCTTGCGAATACTGCATCACGTAGCCCATTTGTGGGTAACCGTAGTTAGAGCTATGATAACCATGGTTAGCATAACCCTGGTTAGCATAACCACGGTTAACGAAGCTACTAGGATGGTGGACATCCAGGCCATAATCCTGGTTAGCGTAACTCTGGTTGTAAATCGGCATCGCGTAGTGAGTTAACGGGCCGAAGCTATTGTACTCTAATTTGTTGACTTCCACTTTTTTCGACTCTTCGCCGGAGGGTTTCGACTCCTTGGCAGCATCGGCTTGTTTCGGCTCCTTAGCAGGCCCACCGGTGGCGGGCCCGACTTCAGGCTTTTTGTCTCCTCCGGCGACTTTTTCATTCTTGGCGGGCCCACTCGAGGAGTCTTCGGCTTTTTTGGGGGGAACAATCTCTATGCCCTTTTTGAGCTTGTCTTTTAAGTAGGCTAGGAGCTCCTTCACGTCCATTGTGCCGGTGACCGTGACGGTATCCTTGCCTACATCGGTTTTTACCGAATTAACCCCTGTTGAAAAATAATGAATTATGTTAGTATTATTATTTATATTTATGTGTAACAAAATGGATTATAAAATAATAAATTATGTTACGATTGAGGTCATGCCCCCACGCCTAACTTATGGATGAAGTAATTATTGTATAGTAATATATTATATGATGGAAATAAAAAATATTAATATTAATAAATCGACTGTCTAACGATTAGACCGACTTACCGTCAACGTTCTTCAAGACCACGCGCTTTATCTTATGCGCGCAACCGTCACAGTGCAATTTGATTTTCATCACCACTGTAGTAACCGCAGGCTGTGAAATTCAGTTAATTTTAATTAGCAATTTAATTAAGCTAATTTAATTACTCATTAGCTTATGTTTTTCTAAGCAAAATATAATTAATCGTGGATTAATTACCTCTTTGGGTTTCTTGTCATCAGCCTTTATCTCCTCGGGCTTCTTCTCCGATTTCTCTTCGGCCTTCTTGTCGCCGGCGGCGGGGACGGCGGCTGCGCCGCCGTCCTTTTTGGGCTGAGGGGAGACGAGCTCCACCTTCTTCTTGGTCTTGTATTCAACCCTCTCGCGGAGCCACGAGGGGTCCACGTGGCCCGTCACGGTCAACTTGTTTGACCCGCAATCGACCTTCACTTTCTCCACGCCTTTCATAAGAAATTGGGACCACGCGCAGAAATTAATTTTAGGTCCCCCAATAGGCTATATATATGGCTAAGCGAAAATTTGAAATTTTTTATAATTATTTCTTATTATTATTATGGACCGTTGATCATTTTGATCGTGTGGTGCCCATTTGACGGTAGATTTTACAATGTTTTCTTGAAAGCTCCGAAAAGTATAAGGTAGCGACAAAAACAAGGAAACTATTTGATACAGTGAACCTTAATTATTACTGCATGACTTTTTACCGCGAATGTTGGTGACAGCTTTTTTTTTT